ATATATATATATACACACACACACACACACACACACACGGCTACAAACACTTGATAATGCACTTTCAGTGACCAAAACAAGATTTTTTTTTTTTTTTTTTTTATATATATATATATCCATTATAAATCATTAGCCAAAAGCATAATGGGAAAATTGCAAACAAGATATCGATTTTAATCGAAATTACAGAAGATCTAAATGGCAAATTTTGCAATTTAACAAATTGTCATGAAAAAAAGTCAACATTCAAACATCATGCAGATTATATTAATTCCAATTAACAGTGATTTTTTTTTTATACACATTGTTATAAAGCAAAAATATCAAACATCAAAAGCTTTCAGGTGTAAGTGATTATATATATATATATATATATATATATATATATATATATATATATATATATAACCTTGAAGAGGAGGCAAATATTAACACTAACATCAAACTGGCAACCAACAAAAACTTAATTTTTAATACTTTTCAGTAAAGGCTCACTAAAATAACTAAGCATTTTCTAAACTAACAGCAAAATAAACTTTCTAATGGATCTTATTTGAACAGGCCTTAATAAAATTCAAACGCAATTTAAACCATTATCAATAAATCACAGATCTCCAGCTTTACATTTTGCAGACAGTGGATCAAGTTTCACGAGGCAGCTACATAGGAATTGCGAAAATATAAATTTAAATTTTCTTTAAATAAGATAAATGAATTGAAAAAGTTAAAAAAAATAAAACTCAATTTTTGAGGATGGAAAATTTTATAAAGATCTTTATAATTTTCATTTTGTGCATTGCATAAGTTGGCTATATTTTGCCTTACAACTATACTTATAAAGGATTTGTGTTTGCATATAATTACATGCTCTAATGATGCAAATTTATGCAATATGAATATATATTTCAGTTAGTGATCAAATGTATGCCATCAAAACAAGTAATAAAGAAAATCAGCAAGCAATGTAGTCCAGTGATCTATGGTTTTATTCAGTTTAGTGGCACTTAGTTTTGTAAGAATTATGCAACACATTTCTAACTTAGTTTAGAAATATTAACAGCATTGGAAAAAAAATGAGATCCATAGGAATCAGCTCAATATCTAGGTTTTTCAAGATAAGGGGAGAAAAATATATATATATATATATATATATATATATATATATATATATATATATATATATATATATATATATATAAACACACACACACACACACACACACACACACACACACACACAAAAAAAAACTAACTAGATTTCAAATATATAGAGTAAAACAGTGTTCATTTGAGCTGTGATTTTATCTTCTATATACAAGGGTAATTACTTATTTGATTCTTAGACAATGGAATTTTGAATCTATACAGTATTGTTCTGGTTTGATTTTTTTTTCCCTCCAGAAATTAAAAAATAATTCTTGCATCCAAAACAGATACAGGATATTGCAACATATCTGCTGCCTCCGCTTATAAATATACATAGTATACAGATATATTACACAGTGACTTGGTCATAAAATTCCATAATTTATACACGATTTACAGAATACTACATGAAGTGGTGGTCATATCTAAAAAGAAGAGTAGAATAAGATTCTGAAATTGATTATGAAAGCTCAGAAACCATTGATTGTTGAGAATGTCAAACCGTTCCCCAGCTAGCTGCATTGAAAGGTTTCAGGTTTTATAATAAACCTATGGACTTGGAATTTGAAGTGATTCTCTTAGAGAAATAATTATCTTGCTTGTTAGAGGGGAATTATCTTTAATCTGTGAAATTATTTACAGAGTTTAATTACAAAAGAATGTGTATGTATTAGCCCAAAACAAAAATGTACAAAAGAGTTTACAGAGGGCACAGTCCTTTCATTAGGTACAAGATTTATAAATAACATGTACAATTTTAATTTTGAACCAAGTTATAAAAGGTGAAGGAGTCGATGGCAGGAAAAAATTCACAGGTACACATTGTACTGACATATTTAAAATTGACTTAAAATATCAATTACATAACTAAGCAAAAAAAAATAATAAATAAATAAAAAATAAAAAAAATAAAATAAAAAATGGTCAGCAATTGCAATAGCAGACTAACACAGGACAGGAGAAAGATGATAAACCCTAAAATCTGACAGACATCACAAGCTCGCTAGATTGTTTGGACAACAAAAATATGGCAGAAACTGTACAGTGATATCAAAATTAAGACTTCATGATACAAACGTAGCACCGAGTAGTCTGTACAATACTGTTGCCTCCTATCATACAATAATCAGTAAAGAATAAACCTTAGAACAATGTACAGCCAAGATGCATTTAGAAACAAAATCCCTTACTGTTGAAACAAAACTCAGTAATTAGCCTAACATTTTTATTGTAATTTCTTGTTAAGTGTTTAATAATACATTGGAATCAATTTTTCAACATTTGTCTATTGATTTGTTTTTTTTAAACTAGAATAAAGACAACCATGGAGCCAGTAAGAAAATTTTAAGTTTTAATAAAGCTGTTAAAACTACAATCATTCTGAAAATGACCTACTGTATTTGGAAAAAAAAAAAAAAAAAAAAAAAAAAAAAAAAAAAAAAAAAAAAAAAAAAAAAAGAGATTTAAAGTTACTAAGCAAATGGAACATAACCTAAAAAGGTTGACAGAGTTTTGTTCCAACAGGAAAAAAAAAAAAAAAAAAAAAAAAAAAAAAAAAAGATATGATAGTGATTTTTCCAATTCTTTACATATCAATTTCTCAATATTTTCTTACATTGGTTACAAAATCTGGTGAATACTACTAGTGACGAACATTGGCGGCAACAAAAGGTCATCTGTGATGGATGAACAGCAACAATGGAGATGAATCTCTACTGCTACAATTTTTTTTATAACAGCAGTGGAGGCAGCTGCATCACCAGATGCTTACAGAAGGTGGTGATATGACTGATAATGTGAATATACAGATGGCACCTGTACACACATATTTACACTTTACAGTTTAATTCACAGCTTGCTGCTACAACCAACCGAATAAAATGCTTCAGATTTAAAGGTTAAGATTTTTTATATATATATATATATATATATATATATATATATATGGGATGCCAAACAGCATTTGAAAAAAAAAAAAAAAATTTTACAAATGAATTATAATAGGCTAGTACAATAAAGCCCCAAAATTATTTTAGAGTGTATTACAAAAAAAAGTAAAGCCAGAAAAAAAACTTCTATTGAAGGAATGTTTGGCAATCCCTACAGTTGAGCAGCACAGTAACCCAAGCAAAATTATTGGCAAAAAGCCTTACTTTTTTATTTTTATTTTATATATATATATATATATATATATATATATATATATATATATATATATATAAAAAAACACACACGCACACAAAGCCTTTCTGTGAGCAAATACATTCAAAAACTTGCAAACTTATTTTACTTTTTAAACAAAAAAGGTTGCTTAAAATAAAATGTTTAACCTATAAATTTATTACCATTTGAATAAAAGAGGTAAATAAAAACTGAATAGGAAAATGCATCTAAAATACATATGGAAATTAGCTCTTATGGAACCTGTAGCAATGAGAAATGGAAGATTTCATATTTAATATGCTAATTACAATAAATACATATTGGAAGGTGATGTCAAAATTCTGATGCTGCTAGGCAAAGGTTACTGTGCTGATAAAATAGACTTTAGAAATCAATTTTCTTAACTCAATTGTTTAGCTGATCTGTTGGGCTGTAACAGCAATTAAAATAAATATCCATATTGATTCTTTCATCAAGATTAGGACGTTTCATTTATACTCAAGATTAAAAATACTAATGGCCAATCAAAGTTGGAAATATTTCATTTTAAATGCTTACCATTTTTCTTAGCTGATTCCAACAAATGGAAGGGAAAGTGAGTGATCATGTTTAAATGTTCTAGTAACATACCTCAGTCAGCCTAAAGAGGAGACAAAATCTGATGTATTCACAATATTACCAATTCTTGTCGTGATAGAAAGCAAGATTATGTGTAAATTTCTTAACTATTTTAAAGTTAAGTAAAAAATATTCAAATATATTGCCAATCAGTTTTTCAATAGAACAGAACAGCTAAACAACGACAACTTCCATCAAATAGTGTAAGGAAAAAAGTGCAAAATTGAGACATGTAGCCATATCAGAATTCAAAGAAAGTTTTCTGGTGCTATGCATAAAAACAGGTACAAGATAGGAAATTTCAAACAAAAGAAAAAATTAAAATGCAATTGGACTTGCAATTTGGTAAGAAAAACTTCCAAAATAATTTTAATCCAGTAGGTAAAAATGAATCAATCAAAAGTTGGTTACTAGTGCTAGAGATTATGGATATGAAAGTTTAAGCTTATATGACAAATCATTGAAACAAAGTTTAGGATTTTACTTTTTATAAAATTGATTCTCAAACCAGAAAATGGTGTTTTAATTTTAAATAGCTTCATGAGAGTCAAATTATGCCAATATTTCAACTTGAATATACAATATATACATAAGCTGAATAATAAAAGGCAGTTACTTTATAATAGGGCACAATAAATAAACCTCAGAATAAAGTGAATTTGATATGGCTACCAATGAATCCCAATATATCTGGGCAGGAGGACTGGGGGGTGGGGGGATACTAAGAATACCACAACCGGATTCAGGCCTGTGATGCAGTAAATCTGCCCAGATTAAATCAGTTATAGCTATTTAGGGTTAGTCTTTTTTTTATCTATCAATTAGGTAGACAAGGTTTGAATTAAGAAAGAAAAAAAAAAAATAAAAAAAAAATAAAAAGGCAGGGTAGGGTCAAAGCTTGGAGAAGTGCAGTCAATCTAATGCCTATCAATGACAACCAACCCCCTCAATTTCCTTTCTCCATACAAGTCATCTCCGAGGATAAGAGTATTGTCACTAGACATTTTGCCAGCCAAAGGCAATAACAAAGGTCATGCTGTAGCCTGGCACAGAAAAAGTATACTTTGACAAACTCAAGGGAGAGCGCCATTGGGTGCCATACTAATTGGAGGCATATCAGAACTGGCCTTCATAAAAAATTTCTCCAACTTAGCCAGGATGTGTTTTCCGTAAGTGTATTTGCGCAATGTGGCAATGTGTGGACGGATCTTATGCATCAAACTCTTTCGTTGGGGCGGTTCAGCCACATCAATCATCTTCTGTACAACATAGTTGGCAAATTGGTCCTTCATCATTGTATACAAGGCACTGTGGGGACTGAAAACAACCAAATAAAACCACTATGAGCAATCAGGTTATAACTATTAAAAATAAAAAATCCACACACAAAGGATTTAAAAAAAGGTATTTTGTATTATTTCTCTCAAAAAAAAAAAAAAAAAAAAAACTGTTAACTTACCCATCATTCATTGAACATACTTCTTCAATAAGAAATGCTCGTTCTTGTCTTGAGGAATGAGATACACATTTCTCCACCACATTGCTTTGGGAGAGGAGAGGGGGAGAAAAAGAAAAAAGATAAATACTTTTCAAACTAATTAAAAAAAAATTAAGCAATTAGAAGAATACTTACAAAGAGGAAAACTTATTTACCTGGCAAATTTGTGTTGGCTAAGATCAAGGACTTTGCCCCGAATAACACTGACAATCTTGCTTTTGTCTTCTGCACGACCATGCTCTAGAACATGTTGCACAACATAATTGCCATATTGATCTTGTACAAGTCTTTCTGTGTGTTCATGTAGCTCTTCTAGAATTGGTGTAGTCTGCTCATTAGTACAATGCTCCAGAATTCGTTGAATTACTCTGCAACCATAAGGATGTGTGGACAAACTGAACACCTACAAAAAGAAAAATGTTTAAATCGGGCACAAGTATTAAAGAAGTGCATACAAAAATATAAAAATGCTTTTACACTGTACCAATAAAATGGTCCATTGTGTATACTGAACTACATTTTTGATCAGATAAGCTAAAGATGACAATACAGTATGCAGAATCACAAAACAAAAATAAAAATGGTAAAAACTGAAGTGAGAAATAATTGGCATGTGGCAAGCTAGAGCTTTAAACCTGAAATTATCCCAAACCCATGATTTAACAAAATCCAGAAAGACTGGGTAGTAGTACTCAAAAAATGTAATGGCTATTGTATTCTATTTATCCCTTACTCATTTTTAAATGGAGGCCCCAAAATTACAAACAGCACAATTGTTTAAATTATGTATACCCTCAACAAATATGAGAGCAAGATGATGTAAAGTAGAAATTTCAGTTTCAATAGTGAATTACCATTTCAATGGAATACGATATTTTAAAATATTCTATAATTTATGCAGTTTCATGAGAGTTTAGATAAATTACTTTGAAACCAGCATTATATATATCTATCTCAAGTAATATTTATTAACAATTATAACAAACATTTGTTCGACTGGAGAATAGACTGTCATTTTATGGTTTAAAATAGTAATACTACTCAATGGGGAGGGGTGTGGGAAAAAAAGGAGAAAAAAAAAGCCTAAATTTCTAGCATGCCTGTGTGGGGAACCCTGGCTAAGAAATCAGACATCAAGCCTATGATAACTTCCATGTTGGATTTCTGTTGAGTGTACAAGTTATTTAGAGTATTACCTCAATGGTAATACTCAAGTTTAGAACATTTTTTGGTCTTAACTCAAATTAGCATAAGAATGGAAATTATCACAACAAAATCAAGGGATAAGTCTACCTTTAAATTTGTCAACACCCCATATCAACATCAGCAAGCAGTGACCCTTAGTTTAACATACTAAACCTCAATTATATATGGAAATAAATTTTCTGCAATCACAGAATTGCTAATCTTAATTGGGATCTGGTCTTTTTAATGTAATTTTCAATAATAAATAATTTTATTTTTTCATTTTTTTTTTCTTTCAAAAACTTAATTGTCCCTCTGATTTTGCTAAACCTTTTAATATAACAATGACAATTATTTCCTTAAAATTTGGTTTTACAAATGTTTATCAGTATTTTCCTTATAAAACCCAAAAATAATAATCAACAACAATGTTTACATACAAAAAAAGTGGATTGTTGATTATTTGAGAAAATGTTGGCTAGTCTATCTTTTATAACTTTTCTAAGAAACAATATGTTGCAAACGAGATGAAAGTCAGGTCACCAAAATCCATTGCTAAAGTGGAAATGGAAGACAGACATTAGTTGCTGTTAAAATTGGAAGGGGGAGAGCGAGAGAGATGAAGATCAAACCAATAAGTTTAAGAAATTCATTTCCTTTAGGCCTCACACAATTTGCAAGTGTTACATGTTGATAATTGTAACAAAGGGAAAAAAAAGGATTTACCACAACACAGAGCTAAATCACAAACAAATATTTAATTTACTAAAACACAACATAAAATATATACAAGATAAACAATTGTGGCCTACAAAACAGAAAACACAGAGTTACTGGCAAAGTGTTATGAGAGAGGAGGAAGGTGAGTCAAATATCTTTATCACTTTAGGGCTAGCGAAGTAATCTAAGTGCTATATTTGGAAATCCACAAAGGTGTGTAAATAAATATTAATTTTTTGTTTGGTCAATGAAAATTAGTCAAAATTCCGTTTACCAAATTTGTTCCATGAAATTCTCTTTTGGGTTTTTGTTGGTCGTCAACTTTTTATAGAGATTCTTTCAGCTGGATATAATAGTCCTCGAATCAAAAGCCAGAGTTGATACTGACAGCAATTTGTTTTCACCAACTGACAACCCTTTTCCAAAATCCGATTTTTATAGGGGCTAACACCTAATTTGCAGATTTCTAGATTTTTCTCAAATATACTAAAAAAAATCTAGAATCTTCCAAACAGTCTATTTCAAATTTCTCTATTTTATATCTACTTCATGAAAGAAAACTATTTTGTATTAACAGATAGAACTCAGTAGAATCCCTTACTATAAATTTTAACCTTATTGGGTCTTTCTTATTATAGAAATGCATCCTCGTAACACTTCCCCCCTTCAAAGTTTTGAAATTATAATGAATAACTTTTGTAAGACAATATCAGTCTTTTTTTTTTGTAAAGCAATAAGTCATAAAAAAAAATTTTTTTTTTTTTCTTTTGAAAAGTTATACTCTAGATAAAGCATCTGCAATAATATTGTTCCTTCCTTTAATGTGTTTTATAATAATATATTCTTGCAGGAGAAGACTCCAACTTGTAAGTCTTTGATTTTTGTTAGTCATCTTTTGAAGGAAAGTTAATGGATTATGGTCGGTATAAAGCAGAACACGATAAACAGTAACATTGAGGTAAAAGTCAAAATGTTGTAGCGCTGATAACACCGCCAAGCATTCTTTTTCAATAGTAGAATAATTCTTCTGGTAGGTGTTGAACTTTTTTGAGAAATATCCAATGGCTCTATCGACGCCTTCTTTTTGAATTAAGATACCACCCATACAGACATCACTGGCATCGATTTGCAATTTAAATGGTTTTGAAAAAAACTGGAGTTGCAAGAGCTAGGCCACCAATGAGAGTCTACTTGATTCTGTTGAAAGCCTTATTACAGGTTTCACTTCACTTGTATTTTTTTTTAAGGAGGTCAGTGAGAGGACTTGCTATTGATGAGAAATTTTTACAAAATTCTTGGTAGAATCCTGCCATACCAAGAAATCTCATTAGTTGTTTTTTGTTAGTTGGAATAGGATGCTTTAAGATAGCATCCACTTTTGCTGTGATAGGCTTAACCTGTCCCTGACCAACAGTATGACCCAAATAATTTATTTTTGCATGACAGAATTCTCTTGTTTAGGTTCACACATAGGTTTGCTTCTTCCAGCTTAAGAAAAAAATTGTTTGATGTGCATATGTTCGTCCCAAATCATGCTGTACACAATTACATCATCTATGTAGACCTCACATCCCCGAATTTCGTGTAGAAGGAAATGCATCATCCTTTGAAAGGTTGCCGACGCATTTTTCATCCCGAACGACATAACCTTATATTGGTATAAACCATCCGGAGTCACAAATGCTGAAATTTCTTTGGCATTGTCAGTTAATGGCACTTGCCAAATAACCTTTTATTAAATCAAATTTGCTGACATATTTCACCTTGCCAATGTTGTCAATGCAGTCCTCAATCCTAGGAATTGGAAAAGAGTCACTGTTGGTTACTGCATTTACTTTTTGAAAGTCTGTTACAAATCTGTAAGTGCCATCAGGTTTTGGTACAAGAATAAAAGGAGAACTCCACTGACTGTTGCTTGGTTCAATTATGTCATTGTCCAGCATATATTTAATCTGCTCTCAACTGCTGAAGCTTGATTAGATTTACCCGGTAAAAATGTTGTTTGATGGGTTTTTCATCTCCAACTAAAACATCATGTACTGCAACTGTTGTTTTTCTAGGAACATCAGGAAAAAGATTTTGAAAATCATTGATCAAACCATGAATTTCTTTTCTCATTTGATAAATGTTTGAATTTTACATTTAAATTAGACAGGATTTCCGAGTTTTTTAAATGACTACTCTGACCCATGTCCTTCTCCCTAATAACTGTATCTTCATTATTGTCTAAATCATCTTCAAATTGATTTGTATTATTAATGTTTATTAAGGTTGAGTCCGGTTTAGTATTAGTTACATAATTTCTGTCGATGTAATTTTTTAATATATTAATGTGGCAAATTCTTTTTCCTTTGATCTGGTGTGTGGATAATATAATTTACATCATTAATTTTCTTTTCTATCTCATAAGGACCAAAATATCTTGCTTGTAGAGGATGATTAGGAATTGGTAAAAATACTAAAACTTTTTCACCACTCTCAAATTTACAATTCTTACTATTTTTATCGTATCTAGTCTTCATTTTAATTTGGGAGTTTATTAAATTTTCTTTTTTTAAAGCATTGTATAATTTCTCTTTAAAATTTGATAGTCCAAAAGATGCATCTCATTTTTTTTCAATCAACCATTTTTCTTTTAGAAGTCTTAGAGGACCCCTAACCGTATGTCCAAAAACTAATTGAAAAGGACTAAACCCAAGAGTGTCTTGAACAGCTTCTCTAGCAGCAAGCAAAACAAAATGCACCCCCTTCATCCCAATCCTTTTTATATTGATAACAATATTTTCCGATCATAGACTTTACCGTTTCATGAAAACGCTCAAGAGCCCCTTGTGATAAGCAATAGATTTGTATTGTTTAATAGCCATTTCACTCATTACTTGTTGAAATAAACAAGACATAAAATTCAAACCTTGGTCTGACTGAATGGCCGAAGGAATCCAGACTAAACAGAAAAACTTAGTTAAAGCCTTAACAATAGTTCTAGCCTTAAAATTTCTTATAGGGATAGCCTCTGGAAAACAAGTTGACATACACATAATTGTCAATAAATATTGGTTTCCTATTTTTGTTTTTGGAAGAGGGCCAACACAGTCAACTAGGACTCTACTGAAAGGTTCTTCAAATGCTGGAATAGGTTTCAGAGGGGCGGATGGAATCTTTTGATTTGGTTTTCCGACAATCTGGCATATGTGGCAGGAGTTACAGAAATTGACGACATCTTGTCGAAGTTTTGGCCAGTAAAAATGATTTAATATTTTTTCACAGGTCTCATTTATCCCTAAATGTCCTGACATTGGAGTATCATGAGCTATGTTTAGTATTTTTTGCCTGTATATTTTCGGGATCCCCTATTTGGTTTATTATCTTCCACTCCTCATTTGGACTGGCATCCACTGGGCGCCATTTCCTCATTAAAATGCCATCTCTCATAAAAGCATTCTCTAACTTTTCTTGCTTCTTCTAAAAGGGAGTATTTTATTTTTTAAAAGACAAATT